CAACACTTTTAAATGATACTTGATGTGATAATGTAACTTTCGCATACAAATGAGTATAATATCCAGTACGAAATGTATGAAAATACAAGAAATACAATTTATAGGATTCAGGGTCAAAATGTGTGAAAATGGCCCCCCCTGTTCAATGTGTTTGACCTACTTAATCCTAATTGTGATTAATGTGAATAATTTTAAAAATTTGAGGAGGAAATGTGATCCTTAAAACAAAAGTGCTAGTGTGTGAGTAGATAACGCGATAACCAGAGTTACCGGGACACTGTGGAATGTATCATTTTTGCATGCATTAGTGCATGATTAACTATTAAATGTAATAAATATATTGATATTGTAATTACACATGTGTTAGGTGAAACGGGTGAGACAGTTGGTGTCGGAACAGATACGGTAACATCAAAATGATCCACCAATAGAATTGAAGGATTGTAAATCTGTATATTTGAGATGGGTGTATATCTTTATATGTTTTGAAAATGTTATTGTAAGATGATAGTAAATGATAGAATTTAATAGCAATTCTCTAAGATTATGTACTACGTGTTTATGTGATTGAATGATATTTTGTACTATGTATTGTATATTATGGAATGTGACGCACTGTTTAAGATAGGGGTGTCGATACCTAATCACTGGGCGTGCAATGGTGTGCTAGCACGGTGGTGTTTTCGAGAGATTCAAGAGATATGGATCTATATGAGATCGTTTACCCGATGAAGGGTAGTATGAATGTAATATGCCTTGTGAATTCTTTGAAATTGGATTAATGATATTGTTTGATACATATATCTACATAGTATTTATCTACTTCAGTGTATTACTATTATTTCTATTTCATATACAACATATATACTCACTGAGTGCATGATTTATCTCACACTCCTATAACTTCTACTTTTCAGGTACTATGGAGGAAAGTGTAAACCAGTCCACTGTCCAGTTGATTGAGTCTTGTACAATGTTAGTATGATATCACTCAGGTTAAGCGTTGGTATAACTAATTGTTGGGTTTTGTATTATATTATATTTGTAAGAAATTATTATGGCAGGTTATTAGTATGCATTTGTAAACAGACTCAACAAACACATTTTGTGTTAATCAAAAAAAAAAAAACATACTTTGTGATGTATGCTATATGAATATGAAATTTTGTATATATCTATATTCTGAGAAACAAATAATTGGTACAAGTGTTTTATATATGATACAGGTTATAAGACAAGTTTTATCATCATGCTTAATGACTAAAGTGATGAATGATATTATTACATCTGTGAGATTATTTAATATTTGATTAGTTCAAATTATAAATACGTAAATAAATATATCAAAAATTTAATCACGTTTCATCTTTGAAACACCGGGATGGGGTGACACACGAGCCCCTTCCCAACCCCGTGTTCTAGTAGGTTCACATGAGGTGGTGGCTTTAGAAATCAGTCAAGTACCCCGCCGGAGTTTCAACACCCACAAAATGCCAGCCAGAAGATATATTTTTTTGACCGAAGTGGCCCATTAAAATATTAAATAAGTCCCTTTCGATGGATACATCAATGCCTCATCTTTAGACTTTATATGCCACTTTCATCGCATATATATTTTCAACATTGTCTTTTCATCTGCAAAGTGGGCCTAAGTCAGAATCGCCAGACTTGAATGGGATAAATACAATTGAAAAAAAGGGTGATAAGATATGGAAAGTGACGTATCATTTATAAGCATACGGAACATATGGCTACGTAATGACACCACGATTTTCATGCACACCAGTCACTGTGTCCTGCAATGACCGACCATAATGTTAGAGAGAGTTTTTTTTTTTTTTTGCCAAATAATTTATTTCTCGTGGTTATGGATTAGATGCTGAGTGTTTTTACGTAGATTGGTTGGATCTTGTATTTTGTAGGTCATTGTATATCGTTTCTTTTTTGTCGATGAAGTTTTTCTCTTTGCCTTAAATGTAATTGCTGAAGAACTTAGGAACCAATTTAGTAGGATACTAAGTTCATCAATCGTATATCAGTTTAAAAAAAAAGTATAATTTTATATTCAATTATACTATTCATGGAGTTGTAATTAAAGATGAATCTAATTTTATATTCAATTACAGTATTCATGGAGTTGTAAACCGAAATAGCGAAATTCTTAGGTCATCTCAATGGATTCAAAAATCACACACTTCTTTGGATCATCATAACATACTTTTATATATCTACTCAGAGATAAATATTTCTTTAGTGGATGACTCTCAAAATTATAATTTATAGATATGAAACATAAACCAATACGATTGATAAAAGAAACACCAAACATATCCCAAACTTCTTCCTCCCATAAGCCGGTCTTGAATATTTGATACCTGCACGGTCATGACCCCTCACGCTCAGTATGGTTTGATCCCGAGGGTAACCGATTCGGTGGGAAAGAGACGGACGATTAGCGGTTCTCACGTACAGGGCCCACAATGACTTTAGCTTCATCAAAGGCAAAGTCTCCATCAAAAGAGTTATTCATGTGATAATAAAAGTGAATCGTAAAATCTGGTGTTATTAATTTAAATTTTGATAATTTATTAGAGTTAGATAAAAATAATTTATCTTATGAATATATTAGTTTTATCGTTTTTTAATCGGGCTAAAAAAAATTAATTAAAATACGCATAAATTAATTTAAACATTACTACTAATAATAATAATAAAAAAAAAAAGAAGATAATCACCACGTCAATTCATACACGTTTGGTTTTTCTTTATCAACCTACTCCCAATTTCTATCATGGAATCTAGCTTTGTCCTAAGGTACACTATGCCAAACCCTACAAACCATGCTTCGCTTTCTTTCCGGGTCTGTTTGTAATTATAATCATTGTTGTTCAATCAGTAAAAAAAAAAAAAATCATTGTTATTAAAAACGTGATAAATTATATTAATACTTGTCCTAAATCAACATAACAATAATTTTAAACTAATATATGAGTGTTGATTGTCAATACATTTTAAATTGAATGTTTTAGCACATTTTAAATCAGCACTCACGTACAGATTCACGTTACCATTAAATGTCTTGAGGCTATACTGTCGGTGTGATCACCTTTACTTGTGTAAGAATCAAACCAATAAATGATGAAAATTGGAAGAATGACAACAGACTCAAATGTGTGTGACACATTTTAGTACGGATGATGTTTTTCGCATGATTGAACAGTGATACGAATATAACTTTTATTGAACAGTTAGATATAGTTCAGTCTGAGCTCTAGAACTCTAGGGAATAGGATTTAAGGATAAGTGAATGATTATACAGAGTGTTTATAGTGGTTCATCAACTCAAAAGTTCAATTAATCCATTCTTAATAGAATCTCTTGGTCTTTAACGTATTGATTACTGTGTGAAATTTACAGAGAGCTTTTGTGAAGCTACAATGACTTCTTGTTCTTTTAAAGCGCTTTACCTTTTATTTATAGTTATTCTTGGGTCTTGCTTGATCTAAGACGATCCTCGCCTATCTCTTGTAACGGTCGCCCTTATTACGCAATGAGACTTACACATATTGAATAATTATTGTCACAAAAAAGGGTACTCAGTGGGATCTAGCTGTCCTTGCACTGCCTTCCTCGAGATGCGGATACAGGAAGTTGAGGTTTGAGATCGAGGTCTGTAAATCATATAGATGAGCTGAATTTTCGACTTGAGTAGCATGACCTCGGTTATTGAATTCAACCTGAGGTATTTTTGTGTAGCATCAAATACTTTTGGAATCATCACCCAAACTTAAAACCGTGAGTCTCGAAGCTTTCTTTGGAATTAAGTGCGAAGAGGGAAATCTACACACGATTCATTTCTTATTTATCTATCTTATAAGCCATGAGTAGTTTAGACCGGCATCCATGCTTTACTGCACATCATTATGTATTTATTGTAGCATTGCAGAATCGTTGTGTAATTGTATTTCAACATGTGTATTTTTTTTATTATAAGGCATTCAGGCTTGCATCGATTATTCTCTCGAGTTCAGCGGCTGACTATCATAACTTGAACTGAATTAGAATATGTTCCTAAAGAGACAAGGGTGATTAATACTTAAGAAGTGTATGAAGGGATTGAATTTGATACTTTTAGATTACCAAAAATCAAACTGAACTACTGACCATCATTTACACAAAGTTTGTGCTATTTTTTGGAGCCATTTTCTACATCTTATTTTAGCTGGTTGAAAAAGGCATTTATGTCGTTTTTCGTTTCTTTTCTACATGAAATATGAAGTTTTCGAACACCATTCAGATCATGTTCGCAGTTTTCACACCTGCGTGAACTCCCCAAGAATGTTGCTACTTACTTTCCTCAAGCCACCATTGCTCTAGCCACATGAAATCCATTTTGGTCATCTGCCCTAAGTAAGGATTAAATTTTTGCTTAGATGTATTGTTTCGGACATATAGGAAATGAAAACGCTTCAATCCGTTTTGACATGTTTCAAAAACATAATAGAAACTATTAAATAATTTGAGAATTATTTTTTTAAAACATTAGTGAAAATATAATAAAGTATCTTAAAACACTTTAAAATATTCTAAAACAATTGCGTAAATTCATCGAATCATTATGAAATATCTCGAACCATTATGAAACACCTCAAAGTATTAAAATTTTAATTTTATGACTAATTCATTTTGATTTTTTTAAAAACAAAAACGTTTCGGCTGTTTGGAGACGAAATATTAGTCATTGGGCCCAAGTTGTGCTGTCCTCCAAAGTCTTATGGTCCATCCAGCCCAACCTACAAAATAAACAGAAAACCAATTACCAGTGGCTTAAATAGTTAAATGCCCATCCAGCCCAACCCAAAAGAGGCCCATCGTAGCTTTTTCATCGGCCGGCCACCATTCTCTCGCCAATCGGTTCTGATTTTCTCTCAGAGCCGCCTCACTCTCTGTCTGTCTGTGCCGCCAATCGGTTCTGATTTCGTTGAGTGGGAAGGGAGAAAATGCCATTGGGACTGATATTAGGGTTAGGGAGGGCATTTAGAAGGAAGCGCACATCGTCTCTTGACATTCTCACTTCGAAACGTGGCCCAAGGGATTATTACAAGGGGAAGAATTGCATACCAACTGGTTTTCACACTCGCAAAGGTTTTGATTTTACTCTTCACTTTGGTCACTTCCTTTGGGTTTGAATCTCTACTTCTAGCTTTGCCAGCACATTCATTATGCTATGTTAGAAGTCTTAAGATGGAATTCTTTTGCTGACACGCCACCTAATGAGTACTATCTGAAGATTAAACTATTTTAACTAGTTATGACAAGAAGTACAAATTTATTTTCTCTTCCCTTTCTTGATTTTGCATCAATATTCCAAAACTGATTTAGGACCTATGCTAGACTCTCAAACTTACGAAGTTGGGAAGGGTGATTCTTAAAATTCCTTGTTCTTACTGGGTTCTAAAATAGAGTGTGGATTAAGTATGAGAAGTTTCAGGAGCAATACTACTTGATCTAATTTATTGACATAATTTATTGACTTAATCACTCACAATCATTTGATTGGTAGTGAGGCTCAAGATTGGTTGAGACCCGCTATCAATTCAATGGTGATGAATTATGTTAGTAAATTATATCAGCAAATTAGGTCCCAGTAGTATTATTGGAAATTTCAGTGTTGTTCATATCATTGAGATTATCCATTTCATTAAGATTTGAAACAATTATGGTGCAATGAGTAGAAAGTACAATGACTTAATTTCGAAGGTCATCTGTGGACTGTGGCTACTTTTTTTATCAGAGACTATCTGAATGCTCTTATTGTTCCAACTTGTCCAATATACAGAGGGTTTTATTTGTTTCATTGCTGGTCCCGCTGCTTAAGAAGGGAGGACAATTCTATAATCAACACAAAAAGAAAAAATCCTGACTTTGTTTATCAGAAATACTTTGTAAACGGATAATAATCTTCTAAGTTTTCCCGCATTTGGCTTTGTACACATGTGAGTTCACACAGTCGTAAGCACATTTGTGCATTATCGGTTTTTTGGATGTTCTCCCTTGGTTGAATTACATATCTACTGAAGGGAGGATTACAGTTTTCAGTTTCAGCTACACGATGCAATAAGTACAAANTCAGTCGTAAGCACATTTGTGCATTATCGGTTTTTTGGATGTTCTCCCTTGGTTGAATTACATAGCTACTGAAGGGAGGATTACAGTTTTCAGTTTCAGCTACACGATGCAATAAGTACAAATTTGTTTTACACTTATACATATTGGTGCAGGTGGTTATGTAGTGGTGCAAGAAAAACTGCCAAACTATGTAGTCCCTGATTTGACTGACTTCAAGGTACTTAAATTCAATAAAATTATTAATATTCCGAATTAGGAAATTGGCTTTACATCTGATGACTTTGGTCTCTTGACTTCTTGGCGCAACCACATTTTTGAATCTATTTTTGAGTATGTATGCCCCAACAATCCTGCATTACTTTTTTTGAAGTGCCTTTGAGTTCCCAGAATGGGCTTTTAGCCTTTATTTTAGACAGGGTATTACTGATGATCCATTAGTACAGGCTTGGGCATGGAAACTATAGGCCTGAAATTTAGCTGGCCGTCTCACTTACTTAAAAGGCTGAAAGCTTGGCAAGTAGAGGCCTGGAGGTTAGCTGGCCAGGCTGAGATTGCATCCTCTGTGGTTCTGGGGTTATTGTGGGACCTTTTTTTCACATATTCTATCAGAAGAGATGATGATATAGCTTTATTACAGGCTCAACTATTGTGTTTGTTGAGCCATTTGAATTTTAACTTCAAATTTGAACTTTGTATTCTATAGATAGCCTTAGCACAGATTGTAAGCTTGCTTTTGTTCATATGCTAATTGACTTGGACTTTCTCATTTGCAGCTAAAACCATATGTGTCCCAGTGTCCAATAGAAGTTAGCTCTACTGAGGCTGCTGATTCGGGTAAATAAATCCATGGAGTTTGAAGAAATTAATAATCTGCCTTTCGGCATGGAATTTTACTATGCATGTTGCTCTCCTTTTGTTCCCTTCCTCTTTTTATCTTGTTGAGTTCTGGGGTTTTCCCCAAGGGAGAAGAGGGTGAGGTTCAGGGGCAGCTTAGGCTACTTGATAGATTTTGATTTTGCTTATACTCATTCTCTTTTTTTAGTATTATGCTACTTGGTAGATTTTGAATTGGTTTGTACTCGGTCTCTTATTTAGTTATGACTACCTTGTTTCTAACATGATTCACTGAAATTACTTTGACTATGTTGAAACAATGATCATGAGAGAAACTTGTGTTAACGCAAACTACTGGGATGAAACTGCACTTACCTGCCTCTGAACTGAGGCTGCATGGTCATGACGATTCCACAAATTAGTAGCAAAGCCTTTAAGTATGTAAGTTAATTGTTCACTCAATCCATATTTGTTTTTGGTTTTTTTGTCTGTTGGTGCAATGGCTTATTACTGCGCTGCTCAAACTATGGTCCTATGCTGTCATGTATGGTCCTATGCTGTCATGATGGGACTTTTCTGAAAAATTCCATGATGAAGACACGTGTCATCGGTATTACCAAAACACTGTTGCTAAGATCAAGCACCATCGGCTCACAAAGGTCCCTCGCTCCCGAGGTACTCGTCATATGGGATCATTGCATTCAGTACGTTTTACAACCGACACGTAGCCTCGGTCTGATATGGTGCCTCGATCGGTATACCTCATTCGGTTCCGAGATGTGCCTTTCCTCGGTGCCGAGAGGTACCCCATCCTGGACGCCTCCTCTACTCCAGAATAAGCTATTGACGTACAGGTCATTAGCCTAGACTATTCATCATGACCTTGTCTTACACAATTGGTGTCAGAACGCACAGGAATGCAGGGGCCACAGCCAATGGGGGATGGACGCATGGCATATGATGTCACATCAAAGACAGAAAAATCGCATGCCGTTGCTGACACGCGACTTGGGAAAACAAACTATTAATTACACCATTCCCTTGATGAGACCGCATTCAATGCGGTAAGGCTCGAAAATGAAAGGCAATAAATGCTCCTAATACAGAGCATTTATTGCATCCTCCCTGAGGGGAGTTCATTGTACCGTCGGCATCCTGATGACGCAGCATTGATTGCTCAGGACCCCGAGCAGTTAAAAAGAGAAGACATTCCTCATCAGAATCAGTGCGCACACTGCCTGTACCTAATGATCACCTACTGACTACACTGACAGCAATCATGAGCTTTTGAGGTATAAATACTCCTTGCAAAAGGCAAGACGGGTATGCAACAAAAAACTCTTTACTACAATACACACTCAGTGTTTTCTCCTTCCTCTCTCTTTCTCAAAGACTGACTAGATCGTCGGAGGGGATACGCCGGAAAACACTCCGGCGCCCTTCTAACTTGTTCTTCTTTGTTCCAGGAACCTTTCTTCCAGCCTTACTGGATCGTTCTTCCACTCCCCCAGGGTCTCCCGTTGTCGTTCTAGGTTACCACCGGACCTCGTAGGCTGTTCCAAGCAGCGTGGTTGACCACTCAACTGACTCACTGGAGTTCACCAAAGGAGAGATTTGTTCTCGTTTTTATATTGTGCAGGATCGTGTACGCACAATCTGGCGCCGTCTGTGGGAAACGACTAGTTTTCCTAGTTTTTTCTCTATAAAGAACAGTGACCATGGTGAACACTCGACAGAAAGGGAAAGGCCCCCACCAAAGGAGTCTCGAGTTACAAGCTCCCTGTCATCACGGAGG